GAGTCCAAATGCCCCTCTTGCCCAACTCCATGAAGCGTCCATTTGGTCCGAGCAGTTTGAGAGACTCTGGGATATAGTCGTCCACGAGCGTGTTCAGCACTACGTCGACGTGCCCGTCTGGCCCTAGGAACTCACGCATATCCTTCGCAAAAGTCGACGCATCGCGGCTTGTCGTGATATACTGAATTCCAGCGGACCGCAGGTATTCTTCCTTGGCTCCGCCGCTGCAGGTTGCATAGACTGTCGCCCCCACCCTTTGGCAGTACTGGATAGCAATCAGTCCTACGCCTCCTGTTGCCGTGTGTATAAGCACCTTGTCAGACTCCTTAACATCAGCTAGTTGGGCAAATGCATAGTCAACAGTAGCTGCGACAACAGGTAGTGCGGCTGCTTCTTCAAAGGAGCATGAAGCAGGCATCCTCCTCAATAGTTCAGCAGGCGCCGTAACGAATGTCTTCAGACAACCTTGAGCAATGCCGTAAACACTGTCGCCAATTTGCAGGCCGGAAACCTGGCTGCCAACTGCCACGACCGTGCCTGCGCAGTCAGCGCCGGGTTGCCCGGGGTCTCCGGGGTATAGACCCATAACATTAAGTACATCGCGAAAATTTAATCCAACAGCGCGCACACGAATACGACACTGATAGGGCTCGAGGGAGCTGCGCTGCATAGGTGCTTGTGGGCGAAGAGATAAGTTCGTTACTGCTCCACGGTCAGGCAAATGGAGCTCCAGTGGGCCACGTACAACCAAGGAAGAACGGTTGAGCCTAGGAAAAAGAACTTGGAGGCCAGTTCCTGACTCTGCTGAACGGACGAGCATCTCGGTTTCTTGAGGATACGCCAGGTGTTGGTCGATGATTTCGTTTACAGCTCTGGTAAGATCCAGTCCTTCTTCTATGTCCGCACACCCAATAAAGTGCGATGTACCAGTAGCGTCTACCTCCAGGCGAATGGATCGCACAAGACCCCAGATCCCTGCATTCTGGGGATGCACGCAATCATACGTTGGTCCTTGGGCTCCGCTGGTCAAGATCCATGCAGGGTAGAACTGGGCCGTTTTCTGTGTAGCCATAACCTTGGTTACGTCCAGGACAGACGAAAGAATATCTTGAGGGCTTGAAGCTGTGCTAAGGGCGAGAACAAAAATTACTTTGTCCGACTCTATAGGCGAAGAGGCATCCGGCAGTGGCAGGACGTTGGCAACGGTTTCAGCTGTTGGTTTTGAGAGCCAAACAATGGTTGTCTCTTCGCTGTCTGAAAAGTCATCACGCAGAGCTTCATGATCCCCAGTACAGTCAATGAAAATAATTGCTGGTCGTGCTGGTTCAGCTGTACTGCAAGTATCCGTAGAGCAGGGCCCGCCTTCGTCTGTGTGAGAGCTTGTAGCATCTGCATCGGCTGCGTTCGGCTGCGCAGGGCGTTGGGCGTCGCTGCTGAGTGGAGATAGTTGGCTGACGCCCTCGCTTTCTGCCTCTGTCGTACTTTGTGAATCCAGCTTTGACGATGGAATCCATTCAGTGTGCCACAGAAGATCGCGGGGAATCGCAGCTGAAGGCTCCATGTCTATCTGTCGGAAAGTGACTCCACTGAAGTCTGATACTACCTTGCCATCCGATGTGAAAAGCTGGGCATCAACAGTTGCTGCAGTTGGGGTACGAGACAATAGGGAAACCCGGGCCCATATTTCCTTTTCTGAGCTTGCACTGAGTATGGTCACGGATTCAATGGAAAAAGGAATCATAGCCTTGCGCTGCCCTTCATCTGATAGCAAAATCGCGGAGAGTTGTAGCGCACCATCCATAACAGCAGGGTGTAGACGGAAGCCACGCTCGAAATTCTTTGGGCTCACGGCTTGCAGTAGACCAACAACTGCATTCTCACCTTTAAATGCGCGCTTAACAGTGCGGAACCGTGGACCATACGACAAACCAGCTTTGTGTAGCTCAGCATAGGCTGAGGCCATATCAACTTCATCGGGGCACGCCTCCAGGATAGTCTTGCTATCGACGTCTGGTATCTCCATGGAGCTTGTGAGGATTTGTGCATACGCGTGGACCTGCTGCTCCCCCTCATCTGTTTCTGAGCTGCTTAGCAAGCGTACTTGGCAGTGGGAGTCAACTGATACAGAGATGGAAGTGTTGGAGCCTGGCTGGAAGATGAGTGGCTTTTCGAAGACGAGCTGAGACAAGCATGGTGGGGTCGCCGATGCTCCCTTGTCCAGGACCTCTCTGGAGGCTACTGCCATGAGCTCCAGCATGGAAGTTGCCGGCAACATCGGCTGATCCTTCACAACATGATCAATGAAAAGCGACTCTGCCTCCTCACTCATGCCACCAACAAAGTCCACGCGACCGTCCTCGTGAGCAACTTTGCGGCCCAGCAACGGGTGGCAAATGTCCCTCCACGGGAAGTACTTCCTATTGAAAACGACCGACGCTGGCTTCGCACCTTTTGCTGCGCATCGCATCAGAAACACGAGTTAAAGGTCTTCAGCGTGCATAGAATTTTCTTAATGATTACGTGGGGAAGACTAGAGGGACCAGTTCGAAAGCACACCTGCTGCAGCGGCGACGGCATCAATTGTTTCGATCTTGACGCCTTCTGGGTCGACCATGTTGATCCACTGGAGAGCACTATCAGCCTGCTCCTTGAGGCAACCCCTTCCCATAGAAGTAAGCGTAGGACGAGGCCCTATTTCTACTAGTAAGGTCGCTCCATTTGCTACACAGTGCTGGATAGCGTCACAAAACCTAACTGGCTTGGTGATTTGCTCAGCCCAGTAGTCAGGTTGCCGAAGAGCCTCATCACAAAGTTGTCCTGTGACTGTTGAGATCATTTCAATGTGCGGTGAATGGAGCTGCACTTGCTCTACCACTTTCTTGAAGGGCTCACATGTTGGTTCTACCAAGGGTGAATGAAAAGCGTGAGACACGGATAAAAATTTTGCCCTAGAGGAAGCATTCATTTTCTCCAGAATTGCTTGCACATCCTTTCGTGGGCCAGAAAGAACGATGCTTTTTAAGCCATTGACAACAGCAACCGATGACTTCCTCTGCTTTTCTCCATAAAAATCGGCTATGGCTTTCTCGCCCTGCTCTGCTGTAGCACGAACTGCTGCCATAACGCCGTCCATTGAGGGTAACTCTGCCATTATTTTCGCTCGACTGGCTACCAGATTAAGAGCATCCTCAAGCTTCAAGACTCCCGCCACGCACCCCGCCACATACTCTCCAAGACTGTGACCCAGAACGATGTCGGGAAAGACATTTTTTGACATCCACAGCTCCGCCAGCGCATATTCAAATGCAAATAAAGCAAGCTGAGAAATGGTGCTGCTGGCAAGAAGCGTCTTCGCTTCACTCTCCTTCTGAGGGGATGGATAGAGAATGTCGATAATGGACACGCCCATAATGCCAAGAACAATTTCGCTCGCCTTAATCAAGCACTGTCGGAATACCTGATTCTCCTCATATAGCGCCTTACCCATATTAACATATTGCGAACCCTGCCCAGTAAACATGAAGCAAATCTTTTGTCTGCTGACGGGCCTCTCAATAGAACGGAGGTTGGCTGGCACTTCTTCGAGAATTACATGGGCGTTGGCCCCTCCGAATCCGAACGAGCTAACACCAGCAAAAAGTCGTTTTATTGAACCGTTTGCAGCCAGTGGGACAGCATCTGTGGGGAACTGGACAGGGAAGTCGGAGACGTTTATGTGCTCATTCAGCTTTTTGAAGTGGATATTGGGGGGAACAGTTTTATTCTGCAACACCAGAACCGCCTTAATCAGCCCGGCAATTCCCGAAGACCCTTCCAGGTGGCCAATATTGGTCTTCAGAGCTCCAAGTATAAGCGGGTTATCTTTTGCTCTCCCATTGGCGAACACGCTTTTCAGGGCGTGCACTTCGATTGGGTCTCCCAACGCCGTGCCAGTTCCATGAGTCTCCACATAAGAAATATCAGCTGGCTTGATGCCCGCTCTGGCAATCGCTGCACGAATAACGTCAGCTTGGCTAGGGCCATTCGGTGCTATAAGACTGGCACTTCGGCCAACATGGTTGCAAGCTGTGCTTCGAATAACGGCTAAGACCTCCATCTTCGCTTCTTGAGCCTCATTAAATGGGACTATCATTGCCGCTGCTACGCCTTCACCCCTTGCATAGCCATTTGCTGAATCATCGAAAGTCTTACACTTGCCTTCAGGGGAAAGCATGCGTGCCTTGCAAAATGCAATGAACAAGTGAGGCGTAAGCATCAAGTTGGCGCCAGCAACAAGGGCAGACTGACAGTCTCCACGAACCACCTTTTCGTATGCAACATCCACTGCGACGAGGGAAGATGAGCAGGCTGTGTCAACAGCTACAGAAGGGCCCTTCAATCCATATACATACGATAGACGGTTGGCAATTATGGAGCCCGCGGAACCAGTGCCGGAAAAGGAAGATATCTTGTCATCAGACATTAGGTAAACCCAGTCATGGTTGCAAACGCCAACAAACACGCCAATGTTGGCATTGTGGAGGGATTCTCTGGTGTAGCCAGCAGAGACAAAGCTTTCATAGGACACCTCCAGCAGTATTCGTTGTTGAGGGTCCATGGCCTTGACCTCTGGGGGAGTAATGTTGAATAAAGTGTTATCGAAGTACTCTACATTATCAATGAATGCAGCCCGCTTGACATAGGCCTTCCCAGGAAAGTCAAAGTCGTCGCTGTACATTTCGTGCACACTCCATCGGCTTAGGGGAATATCCATCATACAATCCGTACGATTTATGAGCATGTGCCACATTGCTTCTGTCGAGTCAGAGCTGCCAGGGAATCTGCAGGCAACTGACACGATAGCGAGGCCCTCATGCGGGACACCACCACGTCCTAACTGAAAACCTGCACCACTCTCGGTTGGGCCGCTGTCCTCTCCCGTTGCCTCAAAGACATATTCGGTAATTGCATTAAGAGTGGGGTAATCGAACAACGTAGTTGCGGAGAGCTTCATACCCAGCTTTTTGGAGAGAAGGTTACGGAATTCGACGGCTCCGAGTGAATCCACTCCTAGATCCTGCAGAGGCTTGTCAAACGAAGGAGGAGAGCTGCTCCCAAGAACCTGTCGAGCAGCCGCAGCCACTTGAGCCTTGATAAACTCTTTCCTTTCCGCCGTAGAAAGGTGCTTCATAGTCATGCCTGACGATTCTGGTAAATCTGCCGCCTCCTGCGAGACCCCTTCAAAAAGCGGGGGGACAGTGACATATCGAATGAAAAATGCTCTCCACTTGAATGCCTGGCAAGCCAAAACCGGGGGGCAATCTGGGTGAAGAAGAACGTCATGGAGAGTTCTAAAGCCAAGTTCGTTTGTAATTCCTTTCATGCCATTTCTTGCCAGTTGCTGCCTCATCTCCACTGCCATGCCTTGCTCAATCCAGGGTCCCCACTGGACTGACTGGCAGCAAAGGCCTTTTCGTCTGCGCCACTGCGCCAAAGCATCGTGGCATGCATTGGCTGAGGCATAGTTGGCCTGCGCAACGTTTCCTATAAGCGATGTGATGGAAGAAAACAACACGAAAAACCGAAGGTCTTTGTCGATGCCCTGTTCTTCGCACACTCGATGAATGTTCCAAGCCCCTGACACCTTGCCAGAATAAACGCGACGGAGCCCTTCGAGTGACTGGCTGTCAAGGAGCGAGTCAGCAAGAGCCCCCGCTGCATGGAAAATCCCTTTGATCGGAGCCACAGTCTTCTGTATCTTCTTAAAGACGCCGCGCACGCTTTCATAATTCGACACGTCGCAAGAGAAGAAGCTTACTTTACAATTGATATTCGACAGCCAGTCCCATTCAGGCACGCTGCCTGAGGGAGGCGGAGACTCGCGACGGGCTATTAAAACAATGTTTCGAGCTCCTTCCTCTGCAAGCCAGCCGGCAACCACCAAGCCAAGAGCGCCAAGGCCACCTGTTATGACAATAGCCCCGTCCTCTACTGGTTCAATAGAGCTCGGGAGCTTGACGACGACCTTCCCAATATGCTGGGCTCTCTGCAGATACCTAAATGCAGCCACTCCTCCCTCAACAGGATCCTCCATGTCAAATACTTTCAGTGGAGGGCTGGAGAGCCGACCACTCTCGACGCTCTCCCGGATTCTGTCAAGCATTCCACCAAACCAAGCGGGGTCTTCTTCCATCATGGTGTCCACAGCTATTGTCTCGTACATCACATCTGGACGAGCCTCCTTCACTTGCTCACGAGTCCAAATGCCCCTCTTGCCCAACTCCATGAAGCGTCCATTTGGTCCGAGCAGTTTGAGAGACTCTGGGATATAGTCGTCCACGAGCGTGTTCAGCACTACGTCGACGTGCCCATCTGGCCCTAGGAACTCACGCATATCCTTCGCAAAAGTCGACGCATCGCGGCTTGTCGTGATATACTGAATTCCAGCGGACCGCAGGTATTCTTCCTTGGCTCCGCCGCTGCAGGTTGCATAGACTGT